CTCTCTTGGAAGCTCTCACTCCTGAGCAAGGCTCTTACTGCAACGGTGACCTATTTGCCCAGGACTGAAAGCCTGTCCACAACATGGGAATTTCAGTGTTGAACCTAGGGCAGGCCTGGGCAAACTGGAACCATGGTCACCCTACTTATTGCCCACTGTCATCTCTTTCTCTCCACAGTCAGTGACAGAATGTGGATCAACCCATTTGGTTCAAGCTCACGACTGAGCAGAACTCAGCGTGGAGGGTATTTGTTTCCTCTAATGGAGTAAGACTAACAGAGAGGTAAGAAACAATAAGACAATCACTCAATTCCTGTCTTCTCCCAGAATGGGGACATCTTTTACAAGTGTCCATGATATACCCAGTTTCAACTACTCCAGCAAATACAGGAATGAATTTAAACCTTGATGCTATAATCCATGTCTCGTTAACAAAGAATCAGAAGGGCCAGACAGCCCCTCACAGAGCCAATTCTACTCCTTCCAGCTCAGCTGCAGGAGTTTCTGAGGATGAGGAAACGGCTGCGGGCAATCGAGGGGTGGTAGCTGGCAAGATCTCCGTCCCCTCCCCCCAAGCTATCTGCTGGACCCAAGCTCTGGGAAGAAAAGCTTTGTAAAAAGACTTCTGGCTGCACTAAGACACATTAAAGAATTAATTATAAAGTAAAGCTGAAGGAGAAAATTAATTTTAGAAACACAAGAGGTTACAATTTTTTTTTCCTGGAGATGGGGGAGGAAACACAGTTATTTTCGTTTTCATCCTGGGGGCACAAGCTGGGAGCTGTCCAGTCGATAACCTGGCCATCAGAACAAGGTTTGTAATTAAAAGGTCAGTGACCTGGAAAGCTAGGGCCCCACTCCCAGAGCTTCTCAGTAATGACGGAGCTATTAAATTAAGACTGTTATGAAATCAATGCTAAAAAAGCTTTCATGGTAACGAGATTCCATTCAAGGACATGCAAACTACCTCATGAAATGGACGTAAATGATAAAAAAAGAAAAGTAATAAAAGAGAGTTAAATTGAAATCTGTGTAAGAATTTACTCCCCCTTAAAATACTCCAGTGAGAGAAGCCCTTCACCTCTAGCCCACTACCAAGGTTGGGACCATTAGGTTTCTTCCTCAAGTTCATTTCCAGCAAGGAGGCAGTTTTGCTACTGGGGCTTTTGCTTCCAGGAACAGAAGGGAAGATAAGATCTAGTTTCACCTATTAGAATGATAAAGTAAAGTATGGTGGTTATTTGTTTAGTTTTCCTACCCAAACTAGAATTATTTATTGGAGGAGGGAGGAAAAAGCCTTTTACTTAAAAACTTAAAAAGGGCACAATAAGTACAAATGTCAGCCACTACCACCCAGGCCCCGTATTGGGTATTATACAGAAAAACACACAATGTTCATTCATCTTTTTTCCAGAAGCTTGCTTTGCAACAGATACATTAAAGTTAACTTTATTCCCCCTTCCTCCCTTCACCCCCTACAAGCAGGCATCCCTTTTACCCACCTCATGCTCATCCTGCCAAACATGTTTGCAAGTAGACTGCCTACCTACGTTTTGTGGTTGGGTAGGGTATCAAATCAACATAAGCCTATTGATGACAATTTCCAAGCCTCTAACTTTCCAGACTGATTCTATTGCTGTTTTTAAGTTACTCTAACCTCCTGATTACAGCCTGCATAAAGCCCCAGATAGGTGCCTGCCTGGCAAGAACCGAGTCTACATATAGACCAGTTCTGCAAGGGCTTAAACCCCACGCAGTCCCCTTATCTTCATGTGCGGCTGACTCTGCAGTGGACATGTCATCTGCACGGTCAAGTGGCTGGAAGGAAAAGGAAAACATTTACTCTAATACTCTGAAGGTGAACAGCTGTTTTTCTCTTTCATCCAAAAAATTCCTGATAAAAGGAAGAAATGCTGTAAATTACACAAAATAGCAGTACAAACTTCAAAGAAAATGATAAATGATTCTAATAACTTCATGTTTCTCATTAATGACTCCATATGCAGACTTTAAAGCATCCAAAAGAGATCTCAGAACAAAAACCCAAAAACCCAAACAGGAAAGACCTTTGCAAACCAACGTTCTTCCCTCCCTACCCTGTTCACTCCCCACTAGCCACCCCCACCATGAGAGCACCACCGACCTAACCTGTCAGTATCTGAGGCAGGACTGAGGCAGCCCCTGCTCCGGGCTGTGGTTTCAGGATGAAACAAACTCAGCTGATACGCCTAAAGTAACCCTCATTTTCCACTGAACTGACATGCACTACAGGGACCTCAATTTCTATATTAAATATTAAATAATATTAAAAGAAAAACAAAATTGGATTTGCCTTTTCAGGAAAGAGATGTTTATTAAAAAAAAAGAAAGTCAAGATTATAATTCAAATCAGTGCTCCACTGCAATTCCCTGAAGTGACATTTGCTAGGAAAAGCCAAGACTACAGTAGCTGAGCGCCCTCCCAAAGCCAGCGCTCCAAACCCACCACTGCAACGATCCTGCAGGGAGACCGAGTGCGGTGCCAGAACCGTGGTCCCTCCCGCCCCAACGGCCAGCGAGCCAACTCTCCTTCCACGACTACTGTTAGGGCACAGCAGACGCTCCGCTCTCATCCCCACCAGAGACGGTGCCAAGCTATGCTGATTGTGGCAGCCTGACCCAGGAACAACCGGAAATTTAAAAAGTGAAGTTTAAATCCATGAAGGGGCTTTTCTTCCCTAGACACCGATCAAACCTTGGGATTCTCTGCCCAGAAAAGGTCCTGCCAGAACTCACCCTACTGGGATTCAACTCGGAAATGGATAATTACTGACTGAAGCAGCATTTTAGAGGATAATGGAGACGGGCGATTAACCTCAGTGATTCCGGGTTTAAGTACACGAGTAAACCGGTTGGGTTCTCTTTAGAGGAAGAAGGGCAGGATAGCCTCTCAAGGTGCCAGATGCCTAAAATTCTAAAAACTCTCACCCAAATTAGGGGCAAGAAGGAATTATGTCCACTCTGTCAACAAATACTCATCTCCTCCAGGTCCCTGCTCACATGCTGCCCTCTCAGAGACACTCTGACACACCAACTCTCGTGCTCCTCACCCGAGTTCCCTGCTTGACTTCTCCCTGTGGCACCTGCCATTTGACACACTACCTATTTCATTTTTCCATTTGTTAATTGTCTGCCTTCCCCCCATTAGAATTTAAGCTCTGAGAGGGCAGGGATTTTGTCTGTTCTGTTCTCTGCTAAATCCCTTGGGGGGGGGCAGGGCGTGGCACAGGGTGCACACTCTGTGGATGAATTAATTAATTGGATGAATTCATTAATTGGGTTTTTCCTAAAAGAACAACAAATAATAGTAATAATTGCACAAAACAGTTTCCACTCTACTGTAATTATTAGCCAAGTAACTCAAAAGAAGTATTATTTGGTCCAGAGTTTCTCTCTCTCTCTTTTTTTCGCTCCCTCTCCCAGTCAGGGATTTATTAAAATTAAACAGATTAGATGGAGCTCCTGATACTAAAACTGCTCAGCAAAGCCTGCGGTGGGGAAGTGCCGAGCAAACACCAGAGACATTTGTCTCTAAATTGCTCTAAATACCTTCTGCAAATGAAATTCTAACCCAGCTGCGTTTGAGAGAAAATGAGGACTAACTGGTCATTGTCGGTGGAAGAGAAGATCAGGCAGTTATAATATTGCACAATATACTGGAGCTAAGGATCTCTCAGCAACCATAGATTTTGTCTCAGGTTACCCCGGGTAATCAGCTCGGCTTTTAGGCTCAGCTTTCCACAGCTTCAATGCTTTGATGAGAGAGCTGAAATCCCTAAGCTTTTATGATTAATTACTCCCCATAGGTACACATATTTCAAGGAAAAACTCTTTTATGGCATGATGCTTGCGGAGTGGAGAGTCCAGCCAACACACTCCAAATTTTAATAATCTCCTAATGATGGGGGGGGGGGCGGCACAAAGCGGCCAGCCAGCAAGCGTGCGGCGCTCCTCACCAACTCTGTCACAGGGACCCAGCCTCGGGCTGCCGCTGAGCAGCTGCCTGTGATGAGATGTTTGGTCTTATTCTGCCCAAACCCTATGAGTGAGGCCCAGGGACATGACTGAGTGAAGGGACCAACAGGTTCCTGCTCCATCACTTTGGCGGGTGTCATGGAGCAGACCTAGGAAATCCCACAAAACCATTCCACCTTCTATTCCAGCCAAAAATGACTGAAAGCTCAAAACCCAGAATTTTGAGGCCAACATTCCAGCTCCTAAAGGAAAAACAGTCTTGTTTGGGGGAAAAAACTCACTTTTCCCCCTTACGGTATATAATGACTGTCAACTTCCTAGATTTCTGGGAAATTGAATATACAAAGAATGAAAAGTCAGGTTTCTTTTTTAGTTGTTTGTTTTCATTTTACAAAAAAGAAAAATATGCTAAATTCTAACAGAACCAGAATAGATTCTGTCTGCTTCAGACAATACTGAATCTGTCAGGATCCATTTTATCCCTGTTTACAGAAATACCATGAAACCAGTAATTTACCACCTCAATCCGTAAATCAAATGGCCCCAAGCTTGACCTTAACCTGACCTTGTTTAGTCATCTCGTTTCCCTCGTCCTTCATTGCTTTCTTCCTCTTTCTTTACTGAAGCAGCTGACCTCCTAACCTAAAGCTAGTCATTCTGTAGCCAGGGTCACTGACAGAATATACGGAATAGCAGAAGTCCTCCACAGTCGCATCCAATGGGCCAATTCTACCACTGAATGCTGCCTTTGCCAAGTCCTTGGCCTTCTATCCAATGCTTAGTTATCCAAACCATATGTAATCGCTCGCTCCACTGTAAGGGAAGAAAGTTGCATTCCCCACTGGGGAGCTCACCTCAGCCCCACTCCCCACCCCTACAAGAGTGGACAGCTCTGGGAGATCTCCATGACTCAGCACCTGCCTTCCGCACTGCCCCATCCCCTGTCCCTCTCCAGGCCACTCTGCATGGCCTTGGGGAACCTGTACCTTTCTTCTTAAGGAATGCTCTCCTGGTCGCAAGGGGGCTCTGGCGGACCCGGGAATTCTGTAGAAACTTCACTGCTGTAGCAATCTGGTAGGGAAGATAAAACAGAGAAGAAAAGTAAATTTTAATAGTCTGAATTTCAAGATTAAAAATCCTATGAGTTTTCCCCAAGTCTACATAAACGAGCATACCATTGTGGTCAAACTTATAACCAGTTATTTCTTAAATTTAAAATCTACCTAAATAAAAGACTATGTCATTTCCCTGTCTTCACTCACTTCCCTTATCTGAGCCTATGAAATCCAATCATCTTGGCCTCGCTTTTCAGACCTGCAATGGTCCTACCCATTCTCCCCGATTCTTTAGACCCCTTAGGAGGAATGGCCATACTCACCCACGTCACCACCCTTGTGCCATGCATGCTCCCTTTCTGGAAGGCCTCCCTTTCCCACCTCTACCTGTCTAAACATTACCCCCACACGCATACACAACCAGTACAGCCCTTTTACAATGTGTTCTGACTCCTTGAAGCCTTCCCTCAATAAGCAAACCATCTCTGATCTCCCTATTCTCTTAAATTCCTCAATGCTTATAGTATGTACCATATAACTGAAGACATAATTACACTGCCTTCTAATGTTCAGGCTGCCTACTCAACTACACTACAAGCAGCCGTAAGGAAGAGATTGTGCTGCCCATATGAAGTTTGGCAAAGTGCTGAGTGTATGCATCTGGGCTGGAAGGGATTACATAAGAGACAACACACCTGCCTGTGCACACTGGCCCCTCTTACGCATTGGAGCTGAATTCTGAGAGCCTTCAAAGGGCAAAGTTTGTGGTTTCACGGCTAAAAGCTGACAGACTGTCTACCTACCTCTAGTAATGAATATTATTTAATGAAATCTTCCTATCTACAAATAAGCCTGGTAGGGGATGGAAAGAAAACTGTTGAAGGTATTACCCTTCATGCCACTCAGCACTCGAAGCATGTGCTCACACACTGCTCTCCATCCCAGACACCAGGCCTATGGGTGGACAACAGCAACCTGGCCCAGGTAGGACAGGGGCCGTTTTAAATGACTGTTATTATTCACCTCATCAAAACCAAAAGAATCATATAGTCTCATGTTACAGACAAAGTCAACAGGCCCTGTTGTTCACTGATAAGTTGTTGAAAGAAAAATTTCTAAGGGGCGAAATGTAAAGAAGTTTTCTAAGATCCTTCAAACTAAGGGTAGCAGTTGTGCAGAGATTCAAAGAGAAAGTACTGTGACTACAAATGAAATACAAGTTATAGATCATCTCCTTCCCCATATTTCACATGAATTTAATCTTGAGACCAGACTGACTTCTCAGGAACAAAAGATATGAGGATAAATCGAAAGAAAGAAAAAATGCCAAGGAAACTTCCTTATTTATTTTCCTTATAACCCTTCTGTGGGAAGCTTCCCCTAGACAGTCCCCCTAATGGATGAATTCAGTGTCCGGACTTTTTGGATCTGGGCCTGTCACTAGTAAGATACACTAGCACCCCCTGAGAGTCAAGCCCCACTCCCTGCAAGTTACAATCTGTCCTCCAACATTGCAAACAGTACTAGCCACCATCACGAACTGCAGTGATAACAACCAGTTCTGGACTAAAGAAACATCAACACTTGAGATCCTAGAGCCCCCAAGCCGCATATTCATCCCATAGCGCCTCAAGCAGATCTCTTCAGGTTACACCAAAACCAAGAAAAACCTACCAAACATCTGCAACACTGATGCATTCTAATGAAGAAAGAAGAGAGGAGAAAGAGGAAGGAAAGAAAAAAGAGAAAAAAGGAAAAGAGAATGAAGGCAACAGGACAAGATGAGATATAACAGAAGGGGGTGAGTAAAGGGGAGAAGGGGGAAAGGGGAAAAACAAAGAAGAGAGGCCCTTGCTCAGGAAAGAGAATGGACAGGTATGTAGCCGCTGGCCTCACAGGGTCAATGCCCGTCTGCACAGCTCAGATGGCGCGGGGATAAATATTCCTCACCTGGAGAAAAAACACACCTTCAACACACAAGAAAATTACGGTATTCGTATCATGCGGCAGTCTCTGCATGCTGTGGTATGTGTACTAGGAGACAGAGGAAATGTGGATGAACAGGTCTTAAGCAGTAGATGCTAATAGCTCAGCTCCTATCATTCACCCACAGAAACAGAAACCTTTCCTTCATCTTTCCAAAATTTTCTATGACAGAGAAAGAAAACAGAATCCTACCACTAAAACGCATGGGTTTCACCTTGCTTTTTTAATATAGTCCTTGGTATATGCATTTCTGGTCAGAGAGCAAAGTTCTGATGGGTTTAATGGTGCACTCAATGCAGTGCTTGGTGCATTCCATCAATTTTTTTTTTAAAAATTGCATCTCTTATTTCTTTAAATACATTAATCAGCCTAGTGTAGGCAAAACGGATCCATCGGACAATGCAATAAACATGAATTATCATCTATCCAACACGCATAATGGCTTAAAAATACATAATAGCAGGTGTAGTTTAAATGATTAGTTATTACACCTGTGGTGGGTCTGATTCAATTGGGAAAAATCATCTTTAATAGGTTAAAAGGTTTAGATCACCATGCTTTCCTTAAAGTGGCTGCAGAGAGGGAATGATGGAGTGCTCTGTCATTAGTAATTCATTTAAGAAGAACGTGGGGGATATAGCAAAGAACAGCATAAACGAGCGAATCCAATTTAAACATCAGGTAAAGTAGAAAACACCTTTTAAAAAAGCAAGATAAATGAATTTGGAAGGGAGATGAAATTGACGTATTTATTTTAACGGGAATTTGACAAAGTCCCGGCACACTTCAAACTTGCAAAAATATGAACAATTTCTTTTAAAGTTTCCATTCACTAATTCCAAGTCATATAAAATAATACTGCCAAACACCTACATAAAGTATATTTGGGGCTTGTTTATGTTCCTCTTGATCTTTGTCTGAAAATGCAGGCGACAGGCAAATCACATATTTAACAGCACCGATATCACTACTCCAGATGCAAAAATATAAAGCACCCAAACTAATAGCCCCAACATAATGTGCTGAATAAGAAAGATACCCAGATAAGCAGCTACATGTAAGTATGAACATAGGAAAACCTCTCTCCTCCTTTCACTAATTATTTCTTCAATTACTCTTTGCCTTTCTTCTCCCTCCCCACAAGGAACTAGCACTACAATAGGGGGGGAAAGGACTTGTCCAATCTAGAATTTTATAGCCCCATGATTCATATCGATGGTAGAAAATTTTTCAAGACTCTTTACCCATAATGCACAGATCTTTACACACTAAATAACTGACAGGGTGCTTGGTTTGCGCCTTTCACCCACCTATTGTTGGACACTTTTCATTAACTTCATAAAGCAATTCAACTGACTTTCCTCTGTAGAGGCCCAACACACAACACGCTTTTGTTGGATTCAATGATGGGGTGCCTGCAGCCTGTCCTGTATTATCATTTGATTTTCTAATTAGAAGATGAATGTGACTATTCATGGGTTATATTTGTGCCCAACTAAATTACATAAATTCAGGCCAAATCTTCCGCCTCAATGTCAAAGATGTAAAACGGAGACAGGAACTTTATTGCACATGTTGTGGGAGTGCAGCAAGCCAGGGAAAATTCTGGCACAAAGCTGCTGATGCCGTTGTGGAAGCCACTTGCTGTTGAGTCCATGGTAAACATGGAATCAGCTTTCCTTTACCTCCTCTTTCACTGGGTTCTTAATGAGTACACCTCGAATTACCAGTAGCTAGTTTAATAAAAATAAAGACAAACTTAGAAAAAAACAGAAGCAAAGTTCCCAGCCCTCCCTCTCACCCTACTTTCTGTCCTCTTGCCCCCCAAAGCAAAATAAAACAACTCTGCTACCACCAACTCCACAATTTTGGGGAAATTTAATAATTTCCATTATTTATCACTCAAGGCTATTGGTAAAACTGAGGTGCAAAGAGATGTCTTTGCAGTTTCGTAACAATAGTTACATTGGAGTCACTGCCAGCAACTCAGGGGGAAAAGGGGGAGACTTCGGGTTGGGAAACACTTCTGGATCCAAGATGATTGGCCAATTGAGAGAGATTTGTGTTTGAGAGACCAGGATTTGTAACTGTATAAATCAATGGAATACAGTATACTCAGGGGTTATCTACTATGAACTATGTGCTATTAAATGCATTGTGTAGGGCAAGTAATCCCTGGTGGGAAGAATCGAGGTCCTGATAGTCCTTACCGAAGAGCTGCTCCCTATGTTTTCCACTCTTCTACAAAAGGCTGCACGCTGTAATCTTCAGAATGCACACTTTATTTTCTGCATGAGGGGGACAGCAGAACAGAGCCTGGCTAATAATGAACCTGGGGTTTGAGGGAGCCTTAGCACTTTGCACCTGACATGCAAACCTGATGCATTGTCTCCGGTGACATTTATTTGGAATGCCACCAATCCCAGCACTCCTGTGTACTACATACACATCTATCTCCTAAAATGTGAGCACTCATTAGCCATTTTAAAATATTAAAAATATTCAAAAATTAATGACACTAACAACCAAAGCCAAGTCCTTTTTAACCCAGAGATATCACAACTAGAGGGCAAAAGAAAATGGCCAATATAATATGTGGGCTTGAAGCCCCCATTCCAGCACCACCCGGCTACACGTGCGCTGCTCAGAAGATTAAATTGCCTGTGAAAGGTTCCTACACTGGTACTCTAAAGTAGATACCCAGAATCCTGTTAACAAGCGTTAGACCAAAGCCAACTGGAGTTTTAACAAGGACTGACTTTAAAAGCCTAGCACTGTCGAGAATGAGAGAAGCCTCTTCAAACAGAAATGCTGCATTTTAGTAAGAAATCAGTAATCTGTCAGGAGTTCCTTGACAAATATGGTCATCGGTGGCACAAGGAAATAGTTGCAAAGCAGCTGTTAATCAGAGAAACACATCGTAGAACGCTGATGCTAGCACTCGTGAAAAAATGCAACGGGCTAATTATGAAGCTATATATCTCACTAAAGAGGCCGTGTTCCTTGAGATTCCAGGCAGAGCACTCTCGG